CAGTGGCGCTCTCCCTCTTCCCCCCCCCCTTTTTTTCTGCCTTACATGTACTGGCGAGACGACTCCAGAGCTTGCATCAAAGAGAGACTGCGGCCGCTGTGGAGGTGTGTTCCTTTTCCAAACAAACACTTTATTTTCATGAGGACTTATTTTACCACTTTTCCCTAGTCTCTGATAGAGGAGCATTCATAGGCATGGGACACAATGTGTACCAGATGTGCCTAGGCACACCCTAATCACACATAGTTACCAACTGTCCCAGATGACATGCACATTTTCGAGAGAGTTGTGTATATTATGCATATACACAAGTTTGAGGTTTGGGGTGCACACCCTAATGTAAAAGGCTGCTCACACCAATGGGAACATTATACTAGTTTTTTTACTCTGTTTTGTGCTGGGCTACATACACTACCCCTTCTAAGTCCTGTGTTTGTATATTGTATTCTGCTGGACAGTTTTGCAAGAACAGGGATGATTACAGTGAACTACTGACCAATTTTTATCAGCTGATCAAAGTGGGTCTATTATCTTCTAAAGAAAAAACGTGTTGTTGCTAACGCTACCTTTTTTATATGGAAATAAATCAGATTGTTGCTACCGCCATAAGTAAGTCGAGCTAATTGTAAAGGATTGAAATGCTGAGATTGTCTGTGAAAAATCACTGTTCGGTTACACCATGTACAGCTTTAAGGCATTACCAACGCATGCAATTTAAAGTTTGTATATTTTCAACATTCCCTTGAAGCTGCATTAAAAGTCCCTCTTCTCACTGTACACTTTTTTGGCATTAGCAAACGTCCCCATGGCAGTGCTCAGCTTCCGATTTTTTTTTTTCTTCTTTTTTTAAAAAAGTAGTTTGCCTAAATCGACAAATCCTTGGTTTACCAACCCAGGAAAATTGGCTCATCAATGCTAAGAAACTGAATGTTCTCTATAAAATGTAATCCCTAAAGGAGGCACCACAAGGACATATATCCATCATCCTCATTTAACCAGTTAATGGCCAAGTTACTATCCTATATGTTTTTAAAAAAAAAAGAAAATAATATATATAAATTATATATATAATATTTTTTTTTCTTATTTTGTCCTTAAACAGCACCCCAGTCTAGACCAGGGGTCTCCAAACTTTCTAAACAAAAATGGACAGTTTACTGTCCTTGAGACTTTAGGTGCGTCAGACTTTGGCTATTGGAAGTAGAAAAGGTGTTGACGTCTGTGGGAACAGACAATGTCCCATCTTTGGTGTCAGTGGAAGGAATTGCAGTCCATCATGGCTATCATTGCAAGGAATTGTGACCCATTATTGGTGTCATTGTAAGAAATTGCAATCCATTGTTGGAGTCAGTAGGAGGAATTGTGCCCCATCGTTGGTGTCATTGGGATTGGGGAATTGTGACCCATCATTGGTGTCATTGGGAGGAATTGTGACCCATCATTGGTGTCATTGGGAGGAATTGTGACCCATTGTTGGTGTAAGTGAGAGCAATAATGCATCATATCATTGGAGGAATTGTGCCCTATGAGCAGGATAAAGGATAACAAAGGGTCATATCATTGGGAGGAATTGTGCCTCATGACTGGTGTCATTGGGCCCGATCATTGGTGTTATTGGGTCAAATTGTGCCCCTTTATTGGTGTCAATGGGGGGAATTATGTTCCATTTTTAGTATCAGTGGATAAAATTGTGCTCCAAGGGCCGGACAAAACCAAGCAAAGGGCCGCAGTTTGGAGACCACTGGCCTAGACAATGGACATAAGTCTTTAAATATTTTTAACAAGAATATTAAATACTTTTAAGAATTAGTAGAAGAGCATTAAAGCAAGCACACACTGGCTTCAGTAGCTGCAGGCACTGTAAAGTACTTCATCCTCAAATGTCATAACAGTGATTCTGCAGTCAGGTTTGATTTCTTGCTGTTTACAGGACCTGCTGTTTGTTTACAATAGCAGGCTGCCATACAAAATTAAGGTCTTTTTTTGTTTATAGCACAAAAAATGAAGACGCACAGATGATCTAATACTACAGAAATATAGCTCTATTTGTGGGGAAAAAAGAACATACATTTCATTTCGGTGCAGCATTGTATGACTGCGCAATTGTCAGTTAAAGTAACGCACCACCGTATCGAAAAACATGGCCTGGTCAGGAAGGGGGGGGGGGGGGTAAATCCACTGGAGGGAAAGTGGTTAAAACCCACTTGCCGAGAGGCTGTATATATGTGTGTGTGGCTGGCTGGAAGTGGTTAATGCCCTGCAGATGTAACAACATCAGAATCAGAAACAGTACTGTTTTGTGATAGCATTTATTACTTTTTATCTTATACACCTACTGTAAGATACAGATCACAGTGGCACTCTAGAACGAATGCTAAATTGACAAGCCATCTAAGTCATCATGAAATGTCCCATTTATCATACACAGTATGATCTACTTAATCCATGGTGCATGTGAAACAAGCACTGTTAACCCTTTAGGTGGCAGAGGTGCGATCAACGCTCCATAGATCCAAGGGTTGCTTCGTCTTCTCTCTCATCCATCCATCAGGATGTACCAAATGTCTTGTCAAACATTAAGAGTCACATTATATATAACCATGAACTTTGCATTCCATAGGAATGTGCTCTTTATCTACAAAAACATTTTTTTTGTTAATTTTAAATACAAAACATCTGCACACAGAATTTATAATACAAGACAGTGCTAATGATTATTTGTGCAACTATTTCATCAATAAATATAGGGTGAATCAGGATTTGTGGAAAACTGTAACAAAGATAATAAACACGTAACACTTAAAAATTACATTCACCCAAAACTGAAATGTTAATTTTGGGTAAGGTATATTAGATAAATAGATCACTTGCTAGCAACATTTAGGATATCAGCAGTGAGACTTCGGCACCAGAGTCCATAGATCTGACTATGCAGACAGCTATTATGCTGAGTGCATAGAAAAGCTGTGGAGATTCCCTTATTTTCTAGAAGGAAAATGCAGCAGAAAAAGGGAGACACATATAAACACAGTAGCATGGTGTAGTAGTGGGGACCTGGCAGGGAAAGTTCACAAGGGAACCTAGCTGCTCCTGCAGTCTCCGACAGCTATAAGAGACCCTTGGGTTAAATTGGGCCACCCAGTTCTGATGCTGATGGACCGCAACCATTCCGAGGAGAAAAACTCAAGTACTGACGGGGAGGCAGTGCACCCTCCATCTCGATATTCATTGTTCTAATTTAATTGGAGTGTTCCTTTAAGATATGTAAATAATCAAAGGGATGAATTGACCACTCAGAAGCCCATGAGTAAAATATCAGTTTTTGGGTGGGATGACCCATTTAAGCTAGACCTACCAAAAATCTGTTTGAATTAAAACTGGATGTAGCTGTTGGTTGCTTTGTATCTCTTAAAATCCCTCCCTTTTGTAAATCCTGACTTTCATGCTGAAACTATGCAAAGCTGCTGTAAAATAAAGAAGCAAATGCCTCATCCAGGGGCAATGTTGTGAGATCCTTCAGGGTGCAGACACCGCAATCATGGCTGGTATATCTTCCCTCTGGTGAGTGATTCAATCTAATAGTCTAACCAAAACTGATATATTGGTTTCTTTCAAGTTAGATATTAATTAGTTGAAGTAATACCTTAAAAATTGACCCTTCATCACAGATTACTACTGTTTAAACCCAAAACAGCCTTTAAAGAATATGTAAACCCTCAACTTGTAAAACAACCCATTCAGTTTAAAACAGAAATAAAAGGCAAAAAAAAATTTGTGTACACATCTAAAAATAAGGGTGTGTGGAAGGTATTTATAATATTTTTAGAAGTGATCACATACCCTCATTTTTCAGCTGCATAAGGCCCCTTGTAGCTGGGGTGGATCCATCAACATGATCTGCCTGATCATCGGGGGAATCTCTCCACTGAGCAGGTGGATTACAGGTTTCTGTCCACTCTGCTGCTGCAGAGCAGACACAGACCCTGCCTGTTGATTTCAATGGGACAGTTGGATGGAAACGGACTGCCTGTTCGTTTCCACTCGATTGTCATCTGATCCGATCCGCTGGACAGATTGGGAACGGATCCCCATCTGTCTGTTTTTGGCGTACAGGATCAGATCAGATCAGATGCCGGCAGGTGGCAGTGGACTATTGTCCGCCGACACCTGACAGTCCATTGAAATCTATGCATGGACTGATTGGGTCTGCCTGAAAAACAGACAGGCGGACCTCATCGGTCCGCTCTTGTGAAAGGGGCCAAAGAATTGGGGCAGAAGAAACAGCAGCTCCCACAGCTAGAGAACTGACCATGCTGTGCTCTTCTGCCTAGAGTGGTCAGTTTTAAAAATGAAAGCAGCGTTACTGGCAGGTTCACTAGGGATTTCATACAAAGGAAGCAATACAAAGAGAACATGATACTTTTTCATACAAGTACATGGTACAGCAGGTACATATCATTTATATGAATTGTTAGACTTACATATTATTTAAAACAGGTTCCATTGATCCTTAACCACCACGATCAATGAGGCAAACAACTATTTCCCTGCACTTCTTTATACATATACTTGTTGGGATTGTTCCCTATACCTTGAGTGCTAGTTGCTTTAATATTTTTCACTAGCGCTCGCCTGTATACTTTCTATACAACTATTTCCCTACTTACTGAGTTTTGAATGTCTGTGTAAACACCATCAAATGTGACAGTCAAACAGAAAAGGAGAACAATAATTTAGTCGATTATGCGATATAAGCAATAAGCTTCCACCTAATTCAAGAGGCAACTTTGTAAATGTAAAAAGGTGATCTGTATCTTTGTAGAGAATGATGTTAAAAAGAAACATCAAATGTGAAGTATACACTGTGCAGTTCATATCACTGCTATATACTGTACATGTCCTTCAGAAATTTCAGGTACGGTTTGTTTTTCCTTCTTCAAAGTAGCTTTTCTCAACTGTCTTCTAATGATACAGAAGTCCATTGTGTGCTTTACCGAATACTATTCGCATTCATATTCCCCAGTTGGAGGGCCTCGGACCAGGTTGAAGTAGCCAGCAAGGGCACCAAGATCAATCGAAAGTGTCCGCTGTCTCTTCTGCATCTCAGACTCCTCACTGGTGTACAACGAAGAATCTAAAAGGGAACAAAGGGTGTCAGATGGTGTCTTATTTTCAGTTTTGTTTAGTAGGACAAAGAGCAATAGGAAAAGTACATTTAAATATCAGAAATCAGCTTTCATTATTATGACTAAGGAAAGATTTAATCTGACTCCTCAAAATGGGTTACCTCACTTTCCAGATCATCACTGCCTAACTGCAGAACTAAATTGATACCGTGTATTAGCCCCCTATGGAAGATTTTAAAAACAAAAATATTTGCATGCGGCCTCAGCAAAATTCACATGTACAGGTGTACCTCGGTTTACAAACGCCTTGGTTAACGTGATTTTCAGTTTCCGAATTAAAATCCATTGAAAATAATGCCTCGGTTTACAATTTTTTTTCGCTTTACAAAGTGTATGTTGGTGCCAATTTGTAAAAGCAATTTTCTCTTCACTATAGCTCACAGAATTAGCTGTCACTTTCCCCGGAACTAAAGGATACTTTGTTTCTTGAGATAAAAGAAACAAACTAAAAGGAAATATTGTTTCTTTTAACTCAGAAATAAACTAAAAGGAAACTCTTTCTTTTAGCTGGGGGGAAAGTGACAGCTGATTCTCTGAGCTATAGTAAAGAAAAAAAATAAAAGCCGGTAATTACATTTAAAATCCGACAATGACCTATAGGGACAGCGACTTCTTTTTTTAAACTTTTTTCTGACCTACGGAACAGATTAATTGGTTTTCAGTGCATTCCTATGGAAAACCGCGTTTTGATTTACAAATTTTTCGCAATACGAAACGTCCCAGAGAACGCATTAAATTTGTAAACTGCGGTACACCTGTATAACCACGTAGGTCTGATTCAGGAAAAAGACTCTGCTCCCTTGTTGCTCTAGAAATTTCTCCTAATATGATCTTTTTCTTCACGAGGGAAGAAATAGGTTTTCAGCCATGACCGGTGCACACTTCTGAAAATGCTAGTTACATCCATTATCTCCTGCGCTCAAAGACTCAGATCAAACGGGCATTAGTAACAACCAGCGTGTTCATCCACTGGTGATCAGAGGCTGTGCAGCTCCATCATGAAGCTGGGGAAGCTTGACAAAACTATAGAAGGAGATGAAAGAAAAAGCGCACAAACTTTGCGCATTACCTCAATAAATAGTGACTAATAAATTAAAATAAAATTAGTCACTATTTATTGAGGTAATGCGCAAGGTTTGTCTAATGCTAGTTACAAGCCTGTCGTGCTGATTCAGTAGGGTGGATTTGCTAAAAACAAGAGTGTGCACTTTGCAAGTGCAGTTGCTCCAGAGCTTAGTAAATGAGGTAAAGCTTTACTTTGCAAAGAATACTCAATCACATGCAAAAAAAAAAAAAAAACACACAATTTTGCTTGCACATGATTGGATGATGGAGGTCAGCAGAGTTTGCTCTCATGTATTAAGCTTTGGAGCATATACCTCATTACTTGCCATTAGTAAATCAACCCCAATGGCTTCAATACTATCTGAATCAGTGACCAAGCATGCAGGTCAGATTTTTTTTTTTTTTTTTTTTTTTTTTTTTAAGTGAACTGCTGTAGTGTTTTGAGTCACTGGATAATTGTTTTCAAGCCATTGGACCAGCATGGCAGCAAATATAGAAGAGTGACAGCAGAAAAAAGACCAAGTGGTCCATCGAGTCTATCAAATTCTTCAAACTTTCTCGTCTGAGTATAGATTTATGTTTGAACCAAGCATGTTTGAATCCACTTACTGTTGACTGTCTTTACTACCTCTACTGGAAGTCTATTTCAAGCATTAACTACTCTCTTGGTAAAAATACTTTTTGTGATCGACCCAACTGGAACAGGGTCTCTTTTTGGAGGGGACTGCAGGTTAGCCTTTTGCCTACCGATTATGGGCCCTGGTGTTTTGAGGGGGCTCTATTCTTTGGGAAGCGTATGCCTGGGGGATCTTTTGGAGTAATTTTACTTTGGATTCAAGTCCATGTCTCTCCAAAACACAGACTCTGGGAACTGGAGGACCTGGATACAGATTTGGGGCTTCTGTGCCAAAACTAGCATTGACTACTTCAACCCCCTCCTGGACTTAGGGACTCAGAGTAGATGTTTAACCAATAGCCGCCCTGGCGGCGGCAAAAATGCTGTAGATTTCCGGGTGGACGCCATATGGCGTCCTCCCGGGCATGCGCACTTTTCGCGCTTGCAGACACGGCCGATGACAGATCTGAGTACCGGCCCCCGTTGCCGGTACCATGTGACCTGCTGTGACCAATCACAGCAGATGATATGAAAGTTGTATACAATGGATGGCTTCATTCATGCCATCCATTGTATACTAGTGTCTAGCTGTAAATGGTCACAGCTATCACATGCACATGTCATGTGATTAGCTGTGGCCAAATCACAGCTAAGCACAAAAAAAAAAAAAAAAACCTGAATGAATCGATGTCATTCAGGTAAATGCTTTCTTATAGCAAAGTAATTCTTTGCTATAAGCAAATTGTGTGGAAAAAAAAAAAAAATACCCATCACTTCCCCAAAGTAGTACAATGTTACTACGGTAACATTGTACTACTTTGGACATGGTGAAATATGAAAAAAAAAAAAAAAAAAAAAAATGAAAAGTAATGCAAAATTAAAAATAAAAAAAAAATATATTTTTTTTTTTTTATACTGTCACCAGTCAGTGTCCCTGATTACCGCCATGCCAGTTATATGATGACGCTGTACTGCACTGGTGACAGTATGTAAAAAAAAATAAAATAAATAGTGATTCATTTCATTTTCCAAAAAATGACAAAAAAAAAAAAAATACAACTTCAAAAAACTCACCATGCCTCTTATGAAGTACGTCGGACTGTCTACTTTGCAAAAAAGGGTCATTTGGGGGATATCTGTACTATTCTGACATTCTTGGAGCTCAAGAAATTAGATTGGCTGTCAGTACTTCAGGATTGATCAATATTCAGATCTATACCATAGTTTGTGAACTCTGTAACTTTCCTACAAACTAAAAAATACATCCTAATTTGGGTTATTTTCACCAAAGACATGTAGTAGAATACATCTTGGCCTAAATTTATGAAGAACAATTATTTATTTGCAAACCTTTATAAACAGAAACAAAGAAAAATGTGGGGGTTTTTTTTTTCGAAATTTTCGGTCTTTTTTTGTTAATTTAGCAAAAAATAAAAACAACGGCAGTGATTAGATATCACCAAAAGAAAGCTCTAGTTGTGTGAAGAAAATGATAAAATTTTAATTTGGGTACAGTGTTGTATGACCACGCAATTGTCATTCAAAGTGTGAGAGCGCTGAAAGCTGAAAAATGGCCTGGTATGGAAAAGGTTAACCCTCTTGTATTGAACTGTATTGTTGCTGTATTGTCTCTCCCGTTATATTGTAAAGCGCTGAGCAAACTGTTGGCGCTATATAAATCCTGTATAATAATAATAATAATGTTAATATAATCAGCTCAAAACAACCAGATGCTGAGGCCTCCTGCTGTAATGTGTTAATTATGGTGTTGTGTTTACTGTTGTGTCTTTCTCCCATTGTTAATGGAATTAATTGAGTCACCTATTGTTGCTGTCTGTTGGCTAATCCTCCTGGAGGTTTCTACATGATAGGATTATTCTTGTGTCAACTTTACCTCAATGTGTAATGTTTGTTTTCATTGTTCATGTGGGGACTGCCTCTATTTTTGAAGTGTATAAAGACCTGTATTTCTATTCAATAAGACAGTTCCTGTTTGCACCTAAGCTAGTGTCGTCTAGTTCTTGGGTGCAATTCACAGCTATAATACCTTGTTCCTGTGTTCGAGGCATGGAAGCAGTTCTCTGACGGAAGCACCTAGGTGGGGTACCAGGTGGTCCGTCACACTATCCAAGATTAGTTTTGAACTTTCCTTCTGCAAATTGGAGGTAGGGATGCACAGATACCCGTTTTCCACCGACGAGTACGAGTACCAATACTTGTGCTCAAGTACTCGCCAATTACCGATACTTTTGCAATGTGAGCTCATACAAAATGAATGGACTCAAATCGCTCTGCAAAAATTTACATATGATCTGAACATGAAAGCGGTGCTATTCCTGTTCAAATCAAATGCCATTTCCCGCACTGCAAGAGAGGAGAGGGAGAGAGAGGTGCTAAGCCGCCAATAGTGTAGCAATGTTTATCCAGTAAAAGGGTTAAAATGAGACCGTATTGCGCTCGCTAGGTATCGGGGGATTTGCCCAGATACAAGTACTCATGGAAGTGCTTAGTATAGGATACTGGTATCGGTATCTGTGCAACTCTAGTTGGAGATTGTTTTCGATCTTAGCTTTATATTGAAAATACTGCCCTTGATGTACTTATAGTGCTTTCATCAAGACTGTACATATCAAGATCCTGAAATCTCCCAGATATGCTTTATCACCCAGACCTTTCACCATTTTTGTTTCCTGTCTTTGGACTGGTTGCATCTTATTAATACTTTTATGTAAGATAGGTTATCAGAGCTAAGCACAGTATTCTAAGGCAAGCCATAGATTGTACAATTTTCTTTCCTTTCATCATGAGAGGAAGGAAAGAAATTGTTTGATTCCTCCACCACAGTGAGGGGGAATCCCTCACACAGCGCTTTTGTGTTCTGCTGACGGGAAGCCTTCCCGGACGGCAGAACATAATGATCACTGCTGACAGCTAGAACTGTCAACAGTGATCGCATGCAAAAAATCCGACAGGATTGTACTGAGGTTGATCTGAAGTCGATGAATCAGCTCCAGTACAACCAGCTTGCCCAATAGATGAATTATATTTAGGCCGGCCCCTGCTGAACCAGATGAGATTCAATTCATATATGAATGGCTTAAAAGGATAAGTTCACCTTTGTAAACATGTTATACACACACATTTAGGGTGTAACATGTTCAGCATTTACCTCCTCTCCCCCCGAGCCCCCACTCCTGTGACAGCAGGTCAGGGAGATCCTCTGAAAAACAGCGTGGCTGTGCAAGGCATCACCCACACGGCGGCCATGCCATTCATTCACAGAGTTCTGTGAATGAATGCCTACAAGTACCGTCTTACTGATGGCTTGTACTGTAGTTCCCAGTGAACTGCCAGTGCTCCGTCATTCATTAACTGTCAGCCTGTATTTGAAGTATGGGCAGACAGCTACACAGTCTACCGGAGTTTTGACACTGCACCAGCAGAAAAATGCAAAAAAGTGCATTTATTATTTTTCTTAAAAAGGTAAACTCATCCTTTAAATGAGGTCTAACTAAAGATCTATATAGGGGAATCAGGACCTTCTGTTGGTGGTCCCCCACTAGTAATAAGAGAGATACATACATAAGATATACACCTGTGTGTATATATATATATATATATATATATATATCTCTCTATCTCAAACATATCTGAAACTTCTGTGTCATCAGCAAAAAAGACGTACCTTATCACCCAAAGCTTTTGTTATATCACTTACAAACAGAATAATTAGAACAGGACCTAGCCCAGAGAGACTTATGGTACACCACTAGTGACTGGTCACTGTTCCGAATAAACAGCCACACTGATATCCTGCCCTTAGCCTTCTAGCAGGGGTGGACTGACAACTCATGGGGCCCCCGGACAATAGGGGATCATGGGGCCCCTGTGTCCTTGCCCAAACTCAAAAAAAGCCTATGAAAAAGGTACCAGGGACATCTCATGGGGCCCCTTACTGACCCTGGGCCTTCGGCAGAGCCCGAGTTTCCAAATGGTCAGTCCGCCCCTGCCTTCTAGCATTTTCAAAAGAAGGTCTGAAATAACAGCTTACACATTTATCTCAAAAAAGTTTTCTTTAGATCAATATTGTCAGCATTGTAGTGAAGTGGGCAGACACTTCACTGTAAAACAGCACAAAGCTTTTTCCCTGAGTTTTCTTGTAAATAGATCTATTAATCTTTGTAATGTTTCCCTTGAAGCTGTTGCTATCTAATTTTAGCCCCAATGAACATGAATGGAAAAAGATGCCCTAGACATAAGGGCAGAGGAAGTTGCATATTGTAACTTCCCTTTTTTGTTCAACGCAAATTCCACCCGCAGTTCTCGTTCCATAGTGGTAAGAGAACAGAAAAAAAAAAAAGACTCCCGGGATAATCTATTCATTTTATTGACATTGAAAAAGAGCGATGGTTATGTGGAAACAAGTACCTGTAGTGACCAATCAGAATTCACCTCTTACCTGGACTCGACTTTAGTATTATTTATTTATTTCAGGTACTTATATAGAGCCGTCAATTTACGCAGCGCTTTACATATATATTATACATTCACATCAGTCCCTAACCCTCAAGGGGTGTACAATCTAAGGTCCCTAACTCACATTCATATATATACTAGTGCCAATTTGGACAGGAACCAATTCACCTACCAGCATGTCTTTTGGAGTGTGAGAGGAAACCGGAGTAGCCGGAGGAAACCCATGCAAACTCCAGGCAGATGGTGCCATGGTTGGGATTTGAACCAACGACCCTAGTACTGCCAGGCTGAAGTGCTAACCATTTAGCCACTGTGCTGCCCATAGTAAACAGAGATCCATTTTTCATCTAAAGTCAGTCTAAAAGGCATTTAGCACTGGTGCACACTGCTGCAATTTGCCATGTGACTTGCGACACAGCCACATGACAAGTGAAAATTGATTTAAATGGCGGCAGTTCCAAAGAATGCGACTCAAGTCACAGCGACTTTTTAAAAGGTTCCTGCATGACTTTGAAGCATCTTCGAAGGAACTTCGAGTCCTGTGGACTCGGATCTCACATGAAAGTCGCACGACAATGGGGTCGAAGCAATGTGAACCAAGGAACTTTATCACCAATTCAAAAACTGATACCAGCACACCCTGCATGCAGAACGTTTGGTGTGCTTTCACAAAGTACAACAAGACTGTAGGACATACTAAAAAAAAAAAGTTTATGGCAAAGTGCAGCTAACCCGCACTGGCCACAGCGCAGTGGGGGCAATGTAAAAGCACCCTTACTTGTCTGCCAAACCAAACTCATTGAAGCGAGTTTCTCATTTCAGTGCCTTTTGGATTCCATTTTCCCCCATTTCACTCTGTGGTTCCATCTGCAACCACTATGCTGTTGCAGGATAAAAGTAATAATGCAGTAGCAATGTAGGGGCCAATAAAGGAAAAGAAAAGGGTCACAGAGAGTGGGGGGTTCAGATATCCAGCACAGCCGGAAGGGTGCTAAATGTTGATGCTCTTTCAGCAAGCTTCTCTTTTCAATGCAGCATTGTTCAGCAGTGCAGGCCAAGTAAGAATTAACTGTTTACCTTGCACGGAGCTTCTGATTTCAGCTTTGGAAAATAGAGACAGTTGCTTTATAGGAAACCCATCAGAAATGAAATATGGAGGACTGCCACTGAAATATGGAGGTTGCCGTCATCCTCACCCATCCTGCTCTACGTAGTAAGTCACTGACATGGAAGGTGCATTAGCCAGTGTTGGGCCACCTGAAATGCACATTCCCCAGGTCAGCAAAAACAAAAAGGGCCAGAATCATAACATGGCAGCCAGCACCTTCATAAGCCAGTCTGCTATGGTAGCTCCAATAATTGTATCTCAGCGGTTTGTTTTTTTTTTTTTTTTTTAATGCAGACATACCTGCAATGTTTTCAGGAAGCTCGAATTCCTTTTTCATTTGTTTCTTGCGCTCCAGAAGTGCTGTGTCCAGGCTCTGGCAGCGTGGCTGGTCCTCTGGGGGAGGGTTGAGGGCCTCGTGTTTCAGAAGCTCTGCTGCAGAAGGACGCTGGTTTGGGTTCTTGTCCAATACTGAGACCAGCAGATCTCTCATGATGGGACTACAATCTTCTGCAATGTCTTCTAGTGGAGGTGCTTGCTTGTGTATCTATGGGACAAGGTGGTTTGTTTTTGGTAACACAATTATTGTAGACTGTTGTTAGAGGATTTTAATAGGCAAGACTACATTTTTAACAATCACCTAACTTTTCTACTATGCTTACATCTGGTGCACACCTTTCACATTTGCAGTATTGTTAGAGTAAGGCTAGCCATACACACTTTGATTTCTCTTGTTCAGCCCACAGAAATCGGTTGATAATGCTGAACCATGCTACACAGCATGAATGGAGGAAATCTCAGCTGCCAGCTAATGTATGCAGACAGCCACAAGACCTGCAGCTGCCTGAATTCACAAACAATGGCTGCGTTTGACCTGGTTTCCTTGATATAGAAGAAGTCACCTTCCATTGAGTCAAATGGAAGGTTTCAACAGAACTGCCCACAGCTCAAATTTTGGCCAATTCAACAAGAATCGGCCAAAATGCAAGCTATGTATAGCCAGCTTTAAAGTGGTAGTAAAGTTAAACAAAAAAAAAAAAGAAATATCCTCATGCAAGGTAAAAGGCATAATGTGCCAGTATGCATTGCCACTAAAAATAAAATAGAGTTTACTACCACTTTAATGCTTAGGAATAGGTTTATAGGTAATTGTAGAACATCGCTGTAGTATGGGTTTCACAGAATATAAAAGCTGCCTGTTACAAGAACAACATTTTGTTTCAATGTCCTAGGGCCGTATGTGTGCTGTCATTGTAGTAGGAAAGTACAAACATTATACCTGTTATTGATACAATCAGAGCACCATAATGCCTCTGTTTTACACATATGGTACGTGTGACATTCTGTAGAACAAGCAGTTCTTTTTAGTATTTTTTTTTTTTCTTTTAGCGTGCTGTACCCTTAATGCAGAAGTTTGAATCACCTGTGTGTTTTCATATGTTTAACACTTGTTTAAAACACATTTAAAACTCATGATACACTATGTAACATTTAAAAAAATGAACTATTCTCATCTGCATGCTTTTTTTGCAATTTGCAAAAATGTTGTTAAAGCAACATTAAACTCAAAAGCAAACATTATATTGCAGCTTACCAATTCTTAGATGTGATTGGCTGCATTAAGTTTTTTCTTTTTAGTAGGCTTTTTTCCTTTATTTTCACCTGGAGATCTTGCCAGTAAGTCTGTTTTTCAACAGAACAAGCTCCTGCAGATGTTGCAGGGTTGAGAAAAACCATTTACAATGTGCTACTGACAGGGGTGCTTACTTAGAACAACTTATTTATGTAAAACCTTTATTCCAAACGGAAAAAAAACGGTTTCTGTAACTGATTATAAAGTGTTTGCTGGAATTTGGCTTCAATTTACTAGTGTGTGCAGATCTGCTAGTACATCTAACGCTCCCCTGCCCCCGACTGACAATGCTGCTGTGTAGCTCCGCTACTTCATTGTGTGTGTGTGTGTACACATATATGTATATAAAACACACACACGTGTTACTGGCCAGGTCACCAGGTGAAAACAAAGGGAAAAAAGCCTTAAAAAGAAAATTGAACGCAGCCACCACATCTACTGATTGACAAGCTGCAATATATTACAATTCTGGCTTTGGGTTTATTATCACTTTAATAGTACTATACATATGTTTTTAATCTAAAACTGCATTACATAGAAATGAATGGCTTTGCATGTAAAATACAAGTAATGCACTGGGATAGAAAACACAAACTAAATTTAAAAAAGAAAATGACTTTAAAAAAACCAGGGATTCACTTTAAAAATACAGCACGGGAAAAAGATTGCTAAAAATACAATAAAAATCACATCACAGGCACATCAATGACACATGTAAAAAGAACATGCAAACGTGTTTAATCGCACATATTTTCAAGCTCACAGGTGTGCATACACTCCGAAACCAACATGCAAACTTTAAACCTGTAAAAAGGAAAAGAGAAAAACAGGCCCTCAACCTTCGTTCCTGTTAAATACCACTATTCCTATAGTCAATAAGGCCTGCAATAGTGCTTCCTAATGAACGTGAAATACCTTGACAAAAAAGCACTGTATGGAAGCTCTGCTAATTAGTCTCAGGTAAACCTATGAATGCAGCATCCCTTGTAAGGTGCAAAGATACAATGCTGCTGAATAACCAGAGGGGGGAGCTCCAGGATTATATTATGTTCCCAATCAAAGTTTAAAAGCACTACTAAACCCACAACAGTAAAATCAGTCTTTATATGCAGTAAGCAGGGGTAGGCAACCTTTGAGAGGTAGAGATCTACCTGAACAACACGAAAGATCAAAGATCACCGAGGTTCAGCTCCATTAAAAAATAATAAAAAAATAATAACTAGCAAGGCCTAACTAAATAGTAAGAAAAATGTAGAAACATGTAATAAAACAAATGTCACTGTAAAAATACAAACTTAGCCTACCCTAAAAATGTCAGTCAGTAGAGCAGTGGATGGTGTCAGTGAAGCAGCGGACAGTGTCAGTAGGGCAGCAGATGGTGTCAGTAGTTTTTATTTTTACATTTTTATTTTAAAAATATATTTCACAATTTCTTTAGGAGCCCTGTTGAAAAGGGGAGAACTTGGGGGAAGGGCCAGACAGCAGAAAAAAGGAGGAACAAGGACAGGAGGGACAGCGTGGGAGGCGTTTTCTAGAACCGATCTCCTAAATTTTCCTCCTGCAGCAGCTGTACGCTATTGGGAGGGCGAGGAGGAGATACTAGCTTTCAGCTGCTCCAGGAAGACAAAGGGGATTGGGATTTTTCTGCCCCCCAGCTACCCTGGTGCCCTAAGACTGCTGCCTAAGCAGCCGTATGCTGGGTACCAGCATAAGTCTGCTTGGGCAGCTGCCTTAGGGCACCAGGGTAGGGGTGGGCAGAAAAATCCCGATCCCCAGCCACTGCTGGGAATTCAGATTGTAAAAATAACTGTCCATGGGAGGGAAGGGGGGGGGGTGTAATAGATACTGCAGGTGGGGGGAAAGGGGGCCAGAGGTCACTGCAATGAGGGTGGGACAGTGTCCTCTGCACATCACCTCCCCCCCAGTAGTGTCTTCTGCCCCCCCTTTCCCCCATAACAGTGACCTCTTGCCCCCCCAAGCAATGTCTCCCCCCCCCCCCTTCCCCCAGCCTCCTCCACTGCTGCTGTCATCCTCGGTGCACAGCAAAGAGCGGAAGGCAGCACGGCTCAGGATGGAGGGCGGGAGGAGGAGCTGGCCAAATGAACTTTTCAACAAACTTTAACTAGTAATCAGCTGGACACTGATAGAAGTCACAAGACCCCTATATACTGCTGATGAGAAACAATGTTTAGCAGTTTATATTTACTAAAATGCATTGCCATGTTCTGTGTACTGTGGGAGACTGTATATAGTGAATGCAGGGTCCTGGGTTGAGTAACAATTTAAAGCTGGCATCTCTGCAATACAAAAGTAAACTAACTTACAATGTAGAGGTAAGAGGGATATGCTGATCGCGGGTATCTTTTCACCCAGGGTGGATTCCCAGTCTGCATGTGAATGATGGTGGCACCCATACTGTATATATCTGCCTTTGTAGAGTGTCCTCTGCACAGAACCACTTCTGGGCTCATGTAGATCTGTCAAAAAGCACATAGAGAAATGGTTTATTGTACCAATATTTAGCAGCACAGTGCTTGTATTTTGTAATAATTCACCTTACTGCACAGTCAACATGAAGAACAGTTTAAGCTGAAGTTTAATTTGCTTATATCTTGCCTTCCCTGGTTCCTCATTTCCCCTATCAACATGCTGATGAAAAAATAAAAAAAAAACAAAACACAATTTTCATTACATCCCTTTTTTAAACCCAGCAATGTCATCACTAACTCTCTGTGCTTCTCTGTGCAATGCAGGTAGATCATGGCTGGTGGGAGGGGTCAGCAGGGTGCTGTACATAACTTTCTGAAAACATCACAGCACCTTGCCTCAGTACTCTGCTAAAGAGTCCTCAACCCTGATGCAAAACGTGGCTCGGCACCTAAATGCAGTTATGCAAATATCAAAGTTCCTTGATGGATCAATTCAGTCAATCTGGAGGAGTCTCGCATTCCACTGCATGCTGAGCTCTCAGGATTGTGGACTGTGTCCATACAGCTGCTGCTTCCCAACAGACATAATACCCACCATCTCTCTCACCCCACACACCCAAGTCCTGGGGGTCACCCTGGACTCCCACCTCTCCTTCCTACCCCACATCCAACTGCTATCTAGATCATTCAGACTCCACCTCCGCCACATCTCCAAGATACGCACATTCCTCACCCCAGACACCACCAAAACAACTCGTACACTTCCTCATCATCTCACGCCTGGACTATTGCAACTCCCTTCTCACTGGCCTACCCAAACGAATGCTATCCCCACTCCAGTCGATCCTAAACTCAGCGGCTAGACTCATCCACCTCACCAACAGCTCCACATCCGCCACCCCCCTCTGCCAATCCAAACTACATAACTGACCTGATACCCAAATACTACCCTACCCGTGCCCTCCGCTCCTCACAGGACCTCCTACTCTCTAGCTCCCTGGTCTCCTCCTCCCACGCCTGATTGCAGGACTTCTCCAGGACTTCCCCCATCCCCTGGAACTCCCTACCCCAATCCATCAGACTGTCGCCTACCCTCCTCACCTTCAGGCGCACCCTGAAAACCCTCCTCTTCAGGGGAGCCTACCCCAACCTCACCTAACACCCCACCTCACCTAACAACTAACCTCCTCCACTCCTCCTGCCACTTCTTCCCCCACAGCCATCTCCTCCTGTGCAACCTTCCCCTCCCTCCTAGATTGTAGGCTTGAAAGAGCAGACATTTATGTCTTCCTTATCTTGAGGGCTACTATCCTGAGCATATTGTGCTCGAACCCCTCTTGTATTGTATTGTTACTGTTTTGTCTCATGTTCTGTCCCCCTTGCTACTGTACAGCGCTGAGCATACCCTTTGGCGCTACATATTAATAGTGCATATACATAGGGAATAATAGGACTGCCTGCACATTTAGAGAGATGTACAGAAGACCTCTGCATCCCCCTGCAGGAAAAACAGCAGCCCTCGTGGGGGTGCATGCTGTTGTACTCTCGTGTGAATAACCTCTGCCTTAGGCTGCATGCCATATATTATACAATTTTCTTGAGAATTTTGCTTTAGATTTACCAAAAACCTTATAATAATGAGGTCGAGCCTAAACAACGCTTTTAATTGTATCCAATTAGGCAGGCCCTTGTACTACAAAATTGAAGGTAAATCTAAAGAAATTGGGCAGAAAATTGTGAGAAAATTTGTATAGTGTATGGCCAGTCTTAGTCTTGCAGCCAAAGGAGAAGTGCAGAATGGACATGTGCGGTTCGTTTTTGTTCCGGATCGCATTTTGGACTAATTTTTTCGTTATTCGGAGATTTGGATGTATCCGAATAACGAATTACAAAAATAACGAATTTAAATAAACCCGAAATAATGAAACGAAATTCAATTTGAATTCAAATTCAAAAAGAAAAATCGAAAACAAGTGCATAAACAAAAAAAAAAAAAAGTGAACAAACATGCGAAAACAAATTAAAAGCGAAGCTCCACCCAAAAGGTGGAAGTTCCTCTTTAAGGACTGGTCCTCTACTCCCCGTTATTTTTCACATTGTCGAATTCGGGTGAAATCTTTTCAATTTCGAACGACATTTGGAATTTTGTTGAATCAATTTCGAATACAAACGATTTTTCGTATTTGGGCGAAATGTGTTCGAATACGAATTACTGAAAGGAATCCTGAAAACGAATTTACCGAATCCAACTACACGAAATTTGTTAGATTTTGAAACAAAACAAATTATTTGCACATGTCTAGTGCAGAAAGTCTGAATCAGGTCATAACTCTGGTGCTAAGAAAATGCTAAAGCCACCGGATCAGAGTGACAATCCAGCAACTAGCATCCTCAGCATGACACACCATCAGGACAAATGGAAATAAATGGCTTGTTTTTCAGATGAGGAAGTGAGACAGCGGTGTGTATTTTCACAACTTTTTTCTATCATTCTCAGTTACAAAAGGAACCAACTCACTGCAAAGCTAGAAAAGAGGAAGACAGGAGCGGCCTGAAGGAGCAGACATTCCTTCCCTCGTTCCACAATGTGACTCCAGGTCTGCGGATTATTGATAGGCCTCATCTATGAACAGGCCGAGTGTTCCCAGCCACAGGACAAGGCCCAGCCAATTACCTCAGTTCCCCTCAAGTCCTTCGGATAATACAGGTCACCCGTCATCTGACTGCTGAGGCCGAAATCCACCAGGACGGCTTTTGTGGACATGAAGACAATGTTGCTCGCTGCAATAAAGAAGAGCAATAAGCAGAAGTTGCACATTATACCAGGTCAATGTGCACAGCATTACTCAGCAACAGGTAACCTACAAAGTGCCAACCTACAACAACCAACTTACCTCAAGAGCAACAAATACAGAAAAGCCAGGAGGCCATCCTAAAATGTATTAAAGTCTGATTTTCAATGACCACTGATCAGGTGTTGGGGTTTACTGAATGTTATTATGTACTCTCTACAACACAAGCCTGAACATATACAGCAGCAGTCGCTAAATGGCAAACCGCGGTCCAGGAGCGGCCCCAGCAGTGTCCCCTTCTGGGCCGCCAGCCCACAACGACAGATCCGCCGCTGAGCAGGGCGGTCGTCACGTCAATATGACATCACGTGTGTCCCCCCCCCCCCCCCCTTGCAGCTCACCGACTCTCTGGCTCCCGCTCCCTGCCTGTACACAAGCATCCTTCAGCAAGGATCCCAGCACAGCTCCTGTCTGCCCTCAAGGTAGGGTGTAGTCTTACAGGGGCACTCTGATGGGCACATCACATTGAATGTTAAGGGGTCATGACAGCGGCTAAATGGTTAGCACTTCCGCCTGGCAGTACTAGGGTCATTGGTTCGAATCCCAACCACGGCACCGCCTGTGTAGGTTTCCTCCGGGTACTCCGGTTTCCTACCACACTCCAAAGACATGCTGGTAGGTGAATTGGATCCTGTCTAAATTGTCCCTAGTATGTGTATGTATGAATGTGAGTTAGGGACCTTAGATTGTACCCCCCTTGAGGGTTAGGGACTGATGTGAATGCACAATATATATGTAAAGCACTGCGTAAATTGACGGCGCTATACAAGTACCTAAAATAAATAAATGATGATGGGCCCATTTTATGTTAAGGGGCACTCTGACGGGCCCATTTTATATGTTAAAGCGGAATTCCATTCACTCTGTAAAAAAAATAAAAGTCACCAGCTACAAAAACTGTAGCTGCTGACTTTTAAAAAACAACCACTCACCTGTCCCACGATCCCGTGTTGCTGCCGCCGCAGCCCGTTTCACCGGCCATCCTGTATTTCAGGTTTCGGCATCTTCAGTGTGGGCACCCAACTGTGACAGCTGGGGGCTTCACAGCCGGGTGTCCACTACGCATGCGCGAGTAGCGCTGTGGTTCCTGAATGGGGCCTGTCACGTGTCCCACAAGACTACGGGGAGGGAGGGTAGGAGGACAACTTCCGCTTCTGATCGCTTAGGCGATTGCAGCGAAAGTGGGAATCTGTCAATTTCGGGTACCCGCTCCCCAAAGGTGCCAATCCTTAATGGAGAGCGGGAGACCAATCATTAAAGCAGAACTTCCCCTTTTGGGTGGAACTCCGCTTTAAGGGGCACTCTGACAGGCCCATTTTATGTTACGGGGGCACTCTGATGGGCACATGTTATGTTAAGGGGGCACAAATGGGCACATACTGTGGAAAGGGGCACTCTGATGGGCACATGTGATGGAAAGGGGCAGTCTGATGGGGAAATATGATAGAAATGGGCACTTTGAGTACAAGGGAGCACTCTGACAGGAATACCTGATGTAAGGTGGCAATGTGATGGGGATACCTGGTGTAAAGGGCACTCTGCTGGGGACAACTGATGTAAAGGGAATACATGATGTAAAGTTGCACTCTGATGGCGACACCTAATGTTAGGTTAGTAAGAAAACGTTAAGTGTCCGGACCTCCTTGAATTTCAATTCAATACCCGATATACAGTATACAAAAGCACTGGATAGGGCAGCACAGTAGTTAAGTGGTTAGCACTCCTGCTTAACAGCACTAGGATCATTTGTTCGAATCCCAACCACGGCACTACCTGCACGGAGTTTGCATGTTCTCCCGTGCCTGCGTGGGTTTTCTCCAGGTACTCCAGTTTCCTCCCACACTCCAAAGACATGCTGGTAGGTGAATTGGATCCTGTATAAATTGGCCCTATTATGTGTATATATGAATGCGAGTTAGGGACCTTAGATTGTACGCTCCTTGAGGGTTAGTGACTGATGTGAATTGAAAACAATATATATGTATATTTCTGGATTCCCCCTCCATTGCTGTTGCTTCTCCGTGTACCACCATAGAATGCTGCTTGCTATGATGGCGCATCTGCGGGCTCATTCCCGAGCCAGGCTGTGTGCATCTATTGACTCACAGTGTGGCTCAGCCCCCTTCCCTGTTCACTGCTCACAGGATTTGATTGTTCTGTGAGCAGAGAGAGAGGAAAGAGCCGATGCAGACAGGCACAGCTCTGGATCGGGATATGCAAGTAGTAAAGGGGGGTGAGGGGGTGATACAAATTGGGGAACATTTCTTACCAACTTGCTACCAAGCACAACACGCACAGTTCTCGAGTACTGTATTTAAGGGGTTAAAACAGGCAGTGAGCAGGTGATATGGTGCCTCCTACTGTGTGTTGTCTGACAAGCAATAGGGATCATGCTTCGAAAAGCAAAGCAACTCGAAACAAGCCCTAGGAAACAATTTCATGAAAAATAGCTGACAGGGCTATTAAGTGGATGTAAAGGCATACTGAAGGTAAAAAACCTTCAGTATGCAGCTCCCCCCAATACTTGCCTGATCCAGCAATATGCATGAGACTGGCTGCTGTCCTGGCTCTCTGCCTCCTCATTGGCTCAGAGACAATGGCTCCTGTTGCTGTCAGTCACAGCCAGTGAGGAGGGAGCGAGGGCGGGGCTGAGCCCTGTTCTTATAGACATACAGAACAGGGCTCAGGAGCGAGCATGAACAAGTGCCCCTTTGCAAGCTGCTTGCTATGGGGGCACTCAGCAGAGGGAAGGAGCCCAAAGCACTGGTGGGGGAAAAAAGAAGAGCAGGATTGGGGCTGCTCTGTGCAAAACCCTTGCACGGAGCAGGTGAGTATAACATGTCTGTTATTTAAAAAACAAAAAAGCCTTTAGCATCACTTTAAGTACTGGACATTTGTGGATTATTTTTGGAGAATCACTTTAAAACATTCCAAGCAGCGGATTCAAAGGATGACACACTTACGTTTGATGTCATGGTGGATGACATTTTTGGAGTGTAGAAAGTCGAGCCCTTTAAGAATATGTTTGGTCACCCAAATAATTTCGAACTCCCGCAAAGGGCCACAGCTCTCCAGCTTCTCCAGGACGGACCCTCCTTCCCCAGCCTCCATATACAGGTGAACCATGTTGTTACATAACACAGCTCCATATAACTCAGCGATGTTCTCGTGCTGAAACTGCACCTGAAACTCCACATCAGCTGGTTTGAACTGTTCCACCGGGATCTTTGGCAGAGAGAGAGAGAGAGAGAGGACAGATATATGAGTGCTGAAAATGGCATGTGATGAAGACAGGTGGGCATTGCTCATTGCTGGATTAATCACGTATCATCCACCCTGCTTTTCAGGTGTGGTTATCTCTTACAAGGAACACCTATCGGGCTCATATCATTACACAGTACTCACAGCTCTGTTACATAACTCCTTACAATAACAACAATCCTCAACAGGTGAACATACAGTACATAGAAATGGAATATATCATATCAACGCATTAGCCTTTACTCATCCAGAGAAATATCCCGTAATCTATAGCAGCAATGAAAGAGGATTCTGCTTAAAGAAGATGTAAACTCCTGATATGTGCCTGCTGTACCATGTACTTGCATGAAAAAAGTATCCTGTTCTCTGTGTTTTACATCCTTTGTGTGAAATCCCTGGTGTTCCTGCCAGTCCCTCTGCTTTCCTGTTAAAAACTGACCATTCTAGGCAGGAGAACACAGCATGGTCAGTCATCTAGTTATGCTTGAAACTCAGCAAGCTCTCCTCCAGTGAGCAGATTTGTCCTTGCACACCTCCCTGCATAGTCGTTCACTGGGAAGACCAGTGTGTTGCCACTTCTCCTACCCCAGTTATTATGCAGTGGAGAACAGAGGGAAAGTGATCACTTATTCATAAATGAAAGGCATAAAAAAAAAAAAAAAAAAAAGTGTTTTTAATGTTTTTCATATCTATACACAAATGTTTTGAATAAAACAAAGGAATGCGCTAAATAATAAACATTAAAAAAAAACCTAAATAATAATAATAATGAAAACTTAATGTCCGTGATTATTTAAGTCCATCCACCATCACAAGTGAAAATTGATTCTGCAATCTTGTAATCAAACACCGTGCAAAAATCCACCACCGAATGAAATGGGTAAACATTAGTGAGTTTACCCATTTCATTCGGTGGTGGATTTTTGTTTGATTACAAGATTGCAGAATCAATTTTCACTTGTGATGGTGGATGGACTTATATAATCACGGACATGGTTTCCAAATAATCACGGACATTAAGTTTTCATTATTATTATTTAGTTTTTTTATGTTTATTATTTAGTGCATTCCTTTGTTTTATTTATATTATCTACCTGCTTTTTGGTTAGGAGTGCAGCTCTTTTTTTCTTCTTTTTTGATTGTTGGCGCTGTTTCTGTTGTCATTTCTACACAAATGTTTTGCCTTTCATTTGTATTTTAAACTGAATAGGTTGTTTTACAAAAAGGTAAGGATTTACAATAACTTCAGCTGTACCCCCCACTTTCCCTACTACCATGTCTGAACTGAGATCTTTGGAGCACCTCTCATCTTGAACCCTACTCTTCCATGTCTCCATGCCTGTGTATGTGTATAGATCTATGTACTCAATATACTGTGCAAAGTGTTACATAATCTGTAGGTGCTAATTAAATTCTGGAAACAAAGATAGCTCAGGTTTTTATTACCATCTGAATGTCTGCTGCTTACCCATTGACTGGTCATAAAGAGGTTCAATACATAGATAAACACACAAACACACACTTTGTAAATATTTTATTCTATCTTTCCATGTGACAACACTGAAGAAATTACACTTTGCTACAATGTGACGTAGTGAGTGTACAGCTTGTATAAATAACAGTGTAAATTTGCTGTCCCCTCAAAATAACTCAACACACAGCCATTAATGTCTAAACTGCTGGCAACAAAAGTGAGTACACCCCTAAGTGAAAATGTCCAAATTGGGCTCAAAGTGTCAATATTTTGTGTGGCCACCATTATTTTGCAGCACTGCCTTGACCCTCTTGGGCATGGAGTTCACCAGAGCTTCACAGGTTGCCACTATGAACCGGAGCCAGGCGCTGTGTAGTTTTGTGATAGAAATAATACACCTTGTATGGAGGTGTGCCTGGAGACTTGACAAAGCGCATGCGCGCGAAACATGTTGTCCCAGCAACCGGCCTCTTCCTTCTAAAGCTGCGGCTCCAGCAAGAGTTCCCCCCCTCCGTCTCTCCACATCGTGGTGACGTCATCCAGGACGCTGGGACGTCGGGTAAACGTGGTCCCTGCACTGACAGGCATTCTACTCCACTGCTTCCCTCTGAGCGGACGGGCCGTCCATCTTGGAACCTGGCTTCCTTAAGCCACAGGCTGGTTATTTATTATTGTTTTACCATATGACTTATTAAAGGTACACCTCCATACAAGGTGTATTATTTCTATCACAAAACTACACAGCGCCTGGCTCCTGTTCATACCTCCCACAAACCGATGTGTTTTTACCATGGCAGCAGTGAGTTTTTTCCCCACCAATCATAGTTGACATATACCATTCACTTATTTCCTTTGGGACACATCTGTGCGCTTTTATCCAGACCGTCCTTACAGGTTGCCACTAGAGTCCTCTTCCACTCCTCCATGACGACATCACGGAGCTGGTGGATGTTGGAGACCTTGCGCTCCTCCACCTTCTGTTTGAGGATGGCCCACAGATGTTCAATAGGGTTTAGGTCTGGAGACATGCTTGGCCAGTCCATCACCTTTACCCTCAGCTTCTTTAGCAAGGCAGTGGTGGTCTTGGAGGTGTGTTTGGGGTTATGTTGGCATAGTGCCCTGCGGCCCAGTCTCCGAAGGGAGGGGGATCATGCTCTGCTTCAGTATGTCACAGTACATGTTGGCATTCATGGTTCCCTCAATGAACTGTAGCTCCCCAGTGCCAGCAGCGCTTATGCAGCCCCAGACCATGACACTCCCACCACCATGCTTGACTGTAGGCAAGACATGCTTGTCTTTGTACTCCTCACCTGGTTGCCGCCACACACGCTTGACACCATCTGAACCAAATCAGTTTATTGGTGGCATCAGACCATAGGACATGGTTCCAGTAAACCATGTCCTTAGTATGCTTGTCTTCAGCAAACTGTTTTGCGGGCTTTCTTGTGCATCATCTTTAGAAGAGGCTTCCTTCTGGGATGACAGTCATGCAGACCAAATTGATGCAGAGTGTGGCATATGGACTGAGCACTGACAGGCTGACCTCCCCCCCCCTTCAACCTCTGCAGCAATGCTGGCAGCACTCATACATCTATTTCCCAAAGACAACTTCTGGATATGATGCGGAGCACGTGCACTCAACTTCTTCGGTCGACCATGGCGAGGCCTCTTCTGAGTGGAATCTGTCCTGTTAAACCGCTGTATGGTCTTGGCCACTGTGCTGCAGCTCAGTTTCAGGATCTTGGTAATCGTCTTATAGCCTAGGCCAGCTTTATGTAGAGCAACAATTCTTTTTTTCAGATGCTCAGAGAGTTCTTTGCCATGAGGTGCCATGTTGAATTTCCAGTGACCAGTATGAGAGAGTGAGAGTGATAACACTCAATTTAACACACCTGTTCCCCATTCACACCAGACCTTGTAACACTTACGAGTCACATGACAGCGGGGTGGGAAAATGGCTAATTGGGCCCATTTTGGACATTTTCACTTAGGGGTGTACTCACTTTTGTTGCCAGCGGTTTAGACATTAATGGCTGTGTGTTGAGTTATTTTGAGGGGACAGCAAATTTACACTGTTATACAAGCTGTACACTCATTACTTTACATTGTAGCAAAGTGTCATTTCTTCAGTGTTGTCACATGAAAAGATAGAATAAAAAATTTACAAAAATGTAAGGGGTGTACTCACTTCTGAGAGATACTGTATACATATAAAAACACACACTTATTTATATTATAAACAGATACAGTGATTCCAAAAAGTATTCACAGCACTTATCTTTTGCCACATTTTGTTATGTTACAGCCTTATTCCAAAATGGATTAAATTAATTTTTTTCCTGACCAATCTACAAACAATACCCCATAATGCAATAACTATAAGTCAGCACACAAAAAAAATACAATATAATACCCATTAAAGCCGTGTCACAATCCTTCCCCTGAAGTACCAATATCATATATCAACCGACTTAAAATATACTCAAAGTCCAAATAAATGTCCCAAATCTTGAAAAACTCTGAAAAGTTGTCCAAATTGCATCCAGATCTTGACAAATAGGTACCCACTCGTACACAATGAAGATGAATCCCAGATGCTTTTCAAATACCTCAAAAAAAGAAAAATCTAGACATAGTGTATTATCTTAGGTCTTAGAGACAGTGCCACACATGCAGCATGCAAACACTACAGTGCCACAGCAATCGTGTAAACATACTCAATATACACCACTGCAAACCATATAGTAAGAATGCATAATTACCCTAAATTCAATATAATCAAACATATAATCCAAAATTATAGGCATGGAGTATCCTCAGATAGAAATCCTCTTCTCCAGACACTTCCCTTAAACCTCACAAACAGACCAGAGATCAGCGTGTGAATCAAATAACATACACATTTTATTGTAGCCACTTACATTGTAGACTGATAAAAACAGCTTCCTGGTCCTGACTATGTATATACAGCCATATTGTGGTATCAAACAGCACCCTGGTAATAGGTATATACTGTCACAGTCCTTCTCAAAACTGACACTTCAGCCCCAGAAGGATGCCAGGAGTGGACTGAGAGTCTCAGGAATACAGACCACCATGCGCTCCAGAATCCAAAATGGCCGCCGCGGCACTTCCGGGAACGTCAATACGTCACTATGTCACGTGCCAATTACAGCTTCAAATTGCTTTGAGTATGATGCTACAAGCTTGGCACACCTATTTTTGGGCAATTTCTCCCATTCTTCTTTGTAGTACCTCTCAAGCTTCCTCAGGTTGGATGGGGAACGTTGGTGCACAGCTATTTTCAGATCTCTCCAGAGATGTTCAATCGGGTTCAAGTCTGGGCCACTCGAGGACATTCACAGAGTTAGCCCATAGCCACTCCTTTGTTATGTGGGCTGTGTACTTAGGATCATTGTCCTGTTGAAAGATGAACAGTCGCCCCAGTGTAAGGTCCAGAGCGTTCTGGAACAGGTTTTCATCAAGGATG